GTTTGGTGTGTCCGCACCTTAATGCATCCTGATAAATTTCTTAGCGTCTTTACTAGAACTGTGAGCAGGTATTCAGGATCCAGGCACCACAGTATCTGAATGTGATGAATCTCTTTTGCTCTACTGGTTTTATTCCTCCCAGATGTCAGTATAAGAAGAGGAAACCTGGCAGACCTCAGATCAGTGACACACAGAACCATCTCGACCTCAAGATCCGCATCCTGGAGGACTCTCACACCGACGTGCTCTCAAACAGTGGTATGTGTACAAAGTCGTAAGTAGTTTGTGGTGTGAAGTTGTATGTTGGATGAACCGAAGCTTCTCTTTAGATTTCTGAAGTTAAATGAAAGACTTCAATAACAGGTTACTTTGGTTTAATAAAGTTTGAAAGCCACTGATCTAATCTCTGCTGCTTCAAGGAAAACTCACAGTGAATTCTCACTTTGTCATCTTTCCCCCGTCAGTTCTAAAGAAGTGTCCGATGCTGAAGCTGAAGTGTCCTCGAGGACTGCAGGAGACAGACTTTCTGGACTTGCTGAGGTCCACCTTCCCTCAGCTGTCCGGAGACGACAGACGCTTTGACATCTTAACGTCCGACAAGAGACGGAGGTTACAGCGTCTGAGAGTGAAGACACTGACTGCAGAGGAGATCCACAGAAACATCGGCTGCACAGGATGGAAGTCGACGCTCTACATCAGAATGAAGGTACTCTGTCACTTCCTGTTTCATGACAGACAAGAGTTTGTAACAGTTTCTAACTGTTGGGAAGTTTTTTGAAAGAAGCCATCGCTTGTTTTCAGATGATGGATCTCAGATGGACCTTTTTGTTTTCCAGACACAAGCAGAACCTCAGACGAGCGAGGAGGAGATTCATCCTCCACAGACAAGAGACGACGGCACTGAAGACTCTGTGTCCACAGTTGCCATGGTGACATGTGATGACACCAGTCCTCAAACAAGGTAACTCAAAAGGAATGTCACTGTAAAGGAGTGACACAAACACTAAGCGGCTTAAAGTATGTGGACACCTGAACGTGGCAGCTGTAGGTGAGAGTCATACGTGTGAGAACGGCAAGTTACTGAGCCACTAGTTTGCCTGTTGACCCTGAGGTCATGAAGGCCGTGAGGAACAGGTCTTGTGCTTGCGTTGCTTCAAAAGGCCGTCTGGAACCCAGCTGTGAGTGTTTTTGTGGCCGACCCAGATGAACTGACTTGGGAGAGGTGACCCACTCCACGGCAAATATTTGTCAGTGCAGATTTCACCGCTCTATTAGATGTCCACATACTTTTGGCCATATTGTGATGTTCACCTCCTGCAGCACATTATCAGACAGACTTGAACGCATTGTTTCAGTACCTTTTTAATTTCTGCTCCTGGTTCCCACAGCAGCCCTGTTCAGGTGGTGGAAGGTGGTGGAGAAGGCGTTTTGTCCAGCTGCTCGACATCACAACCACAAGACATGGAAACAGAGGGAGCTGAAGATGAGGATCATGGGATATCAGAACCGGTTGATAGGAAGGGGGACGGTGACGATGATCTTGAGAAGGAAGAAGAAAGAGAAGAAGCGAATGACAGCAATGACGACTGGAAACCTGACAGGAGCGACGAGGAGCTGAAAGACTCTGAACTGCCTTCGACAAAGAAAGAAAAAGCCAAACGTTGTGGCGTCAGAACGTCCGAGTCAGAGACTGAGAACAGTGATGACGTTCTTTCCTGCAGAGTCTGCGGAGCTCTGCACAAATCAGAAGTGGTGTTTGTCAAACATGCCTGGAGTCACGTGGACGATCCGGGAGGTCTTTGTGGAGTGTGCGGAGAGCTCTCAGAGTCTTCAAAGGCGTTAAAGGATCATCTTCAAAGTCACCACAAAACTGACGACTGTCACATTTGCGGAGAGTCTTTCCTCGGTATTCTCAGCCTCAATGAGCACGTGGCTGCCCACTCAGGGGAGAGGCCGCACGAATGTGATGTTTGCGGTGACGCGTTTGCGTTGAAGGCGTCCCTGGTGGATCACCAGAAACTCCATGAGGCGGGGAAGCTGCACAAATGCTACACATGCCATAAAGTGTTTGCACTGAAGGAACAGTTAAAAGCTCACCGCAGGACTCACACCAACAAAAAGACGCACCTCTGCGGCGTGTGCGGCAAATCCCTCAGCGACTACAGATCTTTGTCCCGCCACAAGATGACCCACTCTGGGGAGAGACCTCACAGCTGTCAGATTTGCGGAAGGCGTTTCAAACTTCCTGGGACGCTGAGACAACATGAGAAGATTCACACGGACAGAGAGAGGTCGTACCTCTGTGACGTTTGCTGCAAAATGTTCCTGACGAGCAAGCAGCTGCAGATCCACATGAGAAGACACACCAATGAGAAGCCGTACCGCTGCGGCGAATGCGGCAGAGGATTCACCACCAAGGGGCCTTTGACAATTCACATGCGAATCCACACCGGAGAGGCTCCGTACCGCTGCCCGGACTGTGGCTGGGCCTTCAAACGCAAGACTAATCTGGATAACCACGTGACGGTCCACTCAGGCCTCAAACCGTTTGTTTGTGGGGTTTGTGGGAAAGCATGCGCTCGCAAAACGTATCTAACTGTTCACATGAGGACCCACAACGGGGAGAGACCGTTCAAGTGTACGCTCTGCGACAAAGCCTTCACTCAGAGCCACTGTCTGAAAACACACATGAAGAGCCACCTGGTGGCAGACGCTGCAACGTGACTCTGAACATGGACCAAATGAATTTTCTTTTGTGAAACTGATTGATCGTGTTTTTGTCTATTTAAGTTCTGTCAAGGCTCCCGTACTCTGTGCAAAGTTCACTGCATGTCACGCTGTGCAAAGACAGCTCAAATAAAATCTTTGGCGTAGTCTGTGTCTGTCTGTACACTCATGATGGTGACATGAAAACCTGGTAAACTGTAGTGCAGGGATATTGACCGTTACTCATGTCAGCCTGTACGTTTACTGCACTGTGTACCAACAGGGTCAGGTGGGAGCTAACTAGCGCTGCCGCTCATTTGGCGATTAGCGCCAGAATCGCCATCCCAACCCAACTGTGTTGCTGTGGAAACATTGTCCCCACCCTCTGGTCTACCCCAGGTCGCCTCAGTGAGTAGGTGGATACATCTTGAGCCACAAATGCCCTTTAGCATTGTTAACTGTTAGCTCTGTTGGCTCTGTTAGCAGTGTGCACGGCTAGTAGTTCTAACAAAGTTAACAATGCTTCAGGGGTTTGGCAGCTCATAATGATGCTGCTCAGTCACCAGGACAACCTGGAGTAGACCTGAGGGCTATCAGGGTTTACGCTAAACTTTGTTTCAATGTGGCCGTTAATATTCCAGAATTTTGACCATATGGAACAACTAATAGTCGTATAATATCCAACATTTACACGGCAACACAAACTAAATATCTAAATATCTTGAAAAGAACCTGAATGAAGAAGTGGCCTATTGAACTGAGTGATTAGTCAGGGGTTTATTGTCAGCTGTTTGGATCGCTGTGGTGGAGTAAAGTGTATCTTCGGTCTGATCTTTAAGGAAACATGCAGTGTGTTTGAAGGTCGTGCCAGAGAACGTGACCCGTAATGCCGTCACCTAACTACACCGAGAACGCTAAGACGAAGACCTCGGCCGCTGAGGATGTGGCGCATGCTCTGAAGAGGCAGGGACGCACTTTGTACAGCTTTGGTGAATAAACAGATCTGCTGGTCATTCATTTCCCAAAATTTGTCCTGCATGATATAAGTTGATATTTTAGTTGCCTTGGTAACATATCTTATAGGTCACACAGTATTAGGCTGTTAAATATGCTGTTAATGAATTTATTTATTTGGCATAGTTCCCACCAGACATTTTGGCCATTGATATTTTCATCTGATTGACAGCGACATGTGAAACTGGCTAAAAGCTGACGAATACTGGCTAGCGTAAAGCCCGAGTGGCTGTCATGTTTGGAGAAATTCCATTGCGTTAATCAGGACGCCGTTACCAACAGTAATCACCGACTGAGCGGCACATCATTGGCTTGGACCCACTGGACCTGGGTGGTGCACAACATTGAGCCACCAAGGCTAATCTAGCTTAAGCTAACCAGTGGATACTGGAGGGCAAACAGTGGGCACAACATTCCTGCAAGCACTTGGGTTGAAACGCTTTGATGCCTTCAATCTCATTTTTGTGCACTCAAAAAGGATTTGATTTTCTGTGCATGGAATGGGCTCATTGCTGCCCCTTGTGGCTGCCATGACTATGATTCCCACCAATCGTAGTTGCAGTCGGTGATCTTTGCTCTCCGGCCACAGGGTGGCGGTAATCAGCCCATTATGGTTTGTTACACCTCAGATGATTAAAAAAAGATAACACACACTTGAATAAACATGACACGTGAGATTTATGCTTTATTGGTGATTTCATACACGAAACAAGAAAACTTTAAGAATGAAGGCTATCTGGTTAACTTCCACACCTCTGATAAAAAGCAGTGACCAGCAGATTCCTGAAGCTATGACACTTTCTGAAAACTCTATCATGAACCAATCACAGATTACATCACAGATGCACATTTACATGAGGCCCACAGTAACATGTGAATGGACAGTAGCAGCCACATGTGACCAGAGTGCTGTACGAAACATTAATTCTGTTTTGCACCATTCTTTGCCACCGCTGGTCGAAGGCATGTAACTGTGTCAGAAGAGTTGCGACGAAATTAACAATTAATCAAACATGAATCAAACAATACGCTTTTATTCACTCACAGAATTTATTACGGTTACAGCACATAACAGTTTTACGCCACTCTCATTATAATAACAATAGTAATAATAATAGCTTTATTAAGAACACGAGACAAAGGTCTGTAGAGTACCACATAAAAATAGGCGATTGTCTATCTACAAAACTATATATATATATGTATATGTGTATATGTGTGTGTGTGTGTGTGTGTGTGTGTATACACATATATATGTCTATATAAACACAAGGAATACCCAACACTACATTATGTACGTAAGTTCATATAAAAAGGTATAATTCAATAAACTGCACCCACAAACAGGCTGGAGAGCCTGTGGCCCCACAGTCTCGATTAAAACCTGACTGAGCTCAGTTCAGCTCAGGTTGAGGCTCATTATTAACATCTTACAACACATGGTATTGTCAATGAAATCCTGCCGAACAGTCCAAATTAATACGCCACAGCGATCTGTTCTTGCTGCCTTCCTATTTACATCATAAATAACATCCGGCTTTGCTTGCCAACCATTCCTAAGAGGAAATTTCTTAAAACCCACGTCTGACATCCACCAATGTTTTCTTTTTTGGAATTTGTTCTTAGGTCAGAACAGAATCTATGCACACTCGAGCACACTTACACACATTTTGTGCTGACGTGTTTGGGCAGAATAAGTTCTTCAGTTGTAGAACGCACTCCTTGAAAAGTGCTGCGGTGCTCGTCTGTCCTCCGTTCTGACAATTGTGCTCCTTTAATGCATTGAATTGGTGGTTTGTGGGTACCAGTAGGTCATTAAGTACCTCCACTTCAGAACAACTTAAGAATTTTTTAATATGTTGGGAGTCCGGTGCTTCACTCTCTAACGGCTTTCAGTTTGACAAACCAACAGGCCTGCAGTCTCATGAGCTTTGATTGGGATTGGTGAGGCATTTACAAAAACTGGGATTAACTGGCACACGCTTTCAATTTACGAGGACAATTGGATTAATCATTGTAAGAACACAGATGCCAACAATTCTACACTTCAAGAACACATCATGAATCTGACATGAACTTCTCTTAAGACCTTTCTTTAGAACCAATTTATGAAAAAACTTAGGAAGACATTGGTAAACGAGGCTCAATATTTTTCCAAATCAGTGCTGCAATGTTCGTTTCTATGCAGATGATACAGTTTATATGTTTGTTGTCTGACTCCGAACGAGGCTTTCCTTCATCGTAAGTCTGCCTTTGATGATTTCTAGATATTATTTTATAATCATACACTTATCTGCAATGCAGATCAGGCTGTACATCTACATCTACCCATGTCTTTGACCATCCTTCCATTAAATCAGTTCTGCCGACTCAGTTTAGTCCAGTTTAGTTTGGACATTTTTCCAATTTATAAAACTCACACACACACACAAATTAAGTTAATGGGTTTTTTAGCATTAAAAACAAAAATTAAACAAAAGACAACAACAGGACTGAAAATGTGTCGGCTGAAGCCTTAGCTTATTACAGCTACCCTTTTAACATTAATCATTTCTGTCAGTTCCCTTTAAATTATACAGAGCAATAAAAGAAAGTAACACATACTAAGCACATTATATCGGCCTATTGTCAACCCAAAAATCTGAAACACATTTCATGTACACCCTGGTGTTCATACTTCAGTTTTATTTTTGTTAATCATCTGAATCTATTATGTGTATTACACACTTCTGTTTCTAACCCATTCCACACATTAGCTCCACATACTGGAACACATCTTTGTTTTATATTTGCTTCAAACATACAGTTCCCTCTCAGTTCATACTGACAAATTTTAACAACCTCTGGATACAGACTGCTAACATGCTATTGTATGCTTTGTACATCGGTATTTTAAAACCTACAAGTTTGCGACATTTGCGTGCCTGTGAATTTATGACTAATTTATTTGTGGGTTTGCGATAATCGGCTCTGTTTATGATTCTGGTCACTCTCTTCTGAAGCAAGAAAATCAGATTTGTGATTTTATACATACATACATATATATATATATATATATATACACACATATATATGTTTTTCCCCAAACCTTCACACGGTAAGTGATGTATGGAAGTATGAAAGAACGATTTAATATCTGTCATGAATTTAAGTATCTTTTGATTTGTTCAATATTGTGATAGACTTTGATATTTTGGTTTTGCTATCATTAATGTGGTTTCCAGCAGAGTTTGTGATCAATGACAACTCCCAAAAATTTGTTCTCATGAACTCTATTTCAATATGTACTATCATAATTTGTACTTGGTTGTTGTATTTTCAATGTCCAAATATTATATATTTAGTTCATTTTCATTTAGTTTACATTCATTCACAAGTTGTTAATGTTGAACCATCGTTTGAAAGCATCTGATGCTGTTTCAGCTGTATCCAGAGGCTGCTCGAGGTTTTTACCAGAACAAAACAAACTCGCATCTCCAGCAAATATAACAAAATTAAACACATTGGGACACATTAAAAATATCATTTATGTACAACATAAACAATTTTGGACCCAGCACTGACCCTTGTGGGCCCCCACATATATCCCACAAGAAGTCAGATGTATTATTGTTTATTTGCACATATTGGTGTCTGTTTTAAAGGCAGTTAATGAGCCATTTGTGAAAATACATCGTAATTTGGACTGACTACAGATGGTCGTTCCTGAGACATTTTCAACATTTAACCACAAAAATAAAAATCATCACTGAACATGTTTTAAAATATTTGAATATCAGATTTTACATGTGATGTTATAGTATGATCGTCTGACATGTAATCCTACCCTCATCCTGACTTCAAAATATTTATACCTGCCTTTATTTGAAAATTTACCATATGATAGTGCCGCAAATAATCGATCATTATCCTGATTCAGTGTTTTGTTTACGACATGTTAATTTTCCTGCCCGCTGTAGAAACAGCAGAGGTAACACCAAACTGCTCGGCAGATCGAACCACAGTGCAGACAGAAACACCAAACAGTTGTCACAGTAGTTCAGCACTGATTGATTGCATATTGCATTGCTTATTAGATTCCCCCCATACCGAAACAACAGCACACCCATTATGGCCATGATGGTGTAGAAAGCCCTCTGCTTTGATTGGTCTA